AATGTCCAGAGGACCAGATTTAACTTTTTTAGATTTTTCTACCTGGATTATTGAGCATGCATCAGGATAGTTTAGTATAATGAACAGATAGACAAGATAATAGCTAGTCTTTCTAAGATCAAGGCTATTCTCTTAGAATAACTTTAATCTCAAAAGTTTATAGTGGTTCTGTCCATGTTCCTCTACATGAATTCTAAGGAAGTTTGCAAGTGCAAACAACCTGTGGCACTTCTGTCACCATGTAATGCACAGTTGACTGTGATGTGCAGGTTTTATAGTATAGTGTTTGCTTGAACTGTTATAAAACTTTTGAGAATTAAGTTGTTTGAAGGAGGCAGCATTTCTTTCTATTGGTTATCCAGAATGAAACTCTGTTTTTACAAACAGTTTGCTGCTCCCTCAGGCTGGAATCAACTGCAGAAAGAGTTGAAGATGAAGGACTTAGCCTCTTAATATTTTTAAGGCCATTCTTACTCAGCTTGTAAATTAGGCTTTTGTTTGTAAATATTTAAACAGATAATCAAATTCTATTTTAGTCCCATTTTAGTTTTTATGGATGTTTTTATGGTGTATTTTAATTTTGTTTTGATATTTGTGGTTTTATGATTGCTAATGTCTGTTTGCTGCTGCCTTTCTTGGCCAGGTCTCTTGAAAAAGAGAATTTTAATCTCGATGAGATCTACCTAGTTAAATAATAGTTTATTAATAATAATAATAATAATTACAACTTAGGCTGCTCAAATACTTTTTGACAACAGATAAGATATTAATTGTTAATTACCTTAAACAAAGTATAATAATAAAATAATCACTTCCTTTTTTAGGTCACTTGAGCGCATCATGTTCTCTGCCATCCGGTCGCGTGCCTTACCTTCTTGCCACTTCCTGTTCCGATGGAAAAGTGCGCTTCTGGACATGTAATGTTTCACCTGAACCCTCCAGTTCTGACAGCTTGGTGTACCAGTGGGAGGAGTGGCCACTCCTGGTGGAGGAAAGACTTCCCAACAGCAGCTCAATAAGTGTGCCTGGTCGTCCCATCAAGGTGAGCTGCTGTCATACTGGACGGATCGCTGTAGCCTACAGGGAGGCACCAAACACACCTCTAAACTCAACACCTCAACTGAGCTCCCATCTACTTCCAACTTTTCCCAACCTGTCATCCTCCCCATATGCATTCCACAATAACACCCACCTGATCCCAACCCTGATTGTGCACCCAAGTCTGACTCCTAACCCAGCCAACACAAGAGAACCACCAGTGCACATCAGCATCTTCCAGTGTGAGTCCACTGGTGGTTCACAGTGGATTCTTGAGCAAACCATAGTCTTGGATGCCACAGATTCCCCAATTAATTCTGCTGCTGGCATTGGTACAACTGGAAGTTCCAATATTTCCAGTAATTTTCACTTTTCTGCACCAATTGAACACTGTCCAGGTTCTGCTAGTAAGAGTCTGGTTCACTTGGACTGGGTTTCTCAAGAAGATGGATCCCACGTACTGACTGTTAGTATTGGGACAAAGATTTATATGTACGGTCGACTGTCTGGAAAGCCTCCAGAGCTAGGTTTGTCATCTGAGTCAAACAAAGACCAAAGCTTGTCTCGCTTGGTTCTGCTTCGCCTAGTCAATCTGGTGTCCTCTGTTGAAGGCTCTTTGCCCATCCCAATTTCCCTCTCCTGGGTTCGAGATGGGATATTGGTAGTGGGCATGGAATGCGAGATGCATGTTTATTCTCAGTGGCAGCCCCCAGTTCCCCCCAAACCTAATATTACAGTTGTCCAAGATACAGATATCAGCAGCAGCATCTCCTCTATAGCCTCAGCCATCAGACAGTATCAGGAGGACGGTCATAACTCTGCAGCTCCCATGTCTTCACTGACCCTTCCCAAAAGGAGCCTAACAAGATCAATGATGAGCCTGGCTCAGAAACTCAGTGGGAAGAAAACAGCGTACGACCTTCCTGAGGAGATGGAAGATTATGGGCTCTTTGAAGCAGCTTATCATCTCTTTCCTACTCTACCTCAATACCATCCTGTGCAGTTACTGGAGCTAATGGACCTTGGAAAGGTAAAAAAAAAAAAAAAAGTCTTATTGTTTCCAAGTGCAACACCAACTAGAGAACTGTTAGACTTTCTTTTGCTGAAATGGACAGACTTATCAATAGCACATTACAAGCAGACACTGTATATATTTTTTTCTTTATCAAACATTTCTTATTGTGGAAGTCCAACAAGTACACACTTATTACTGTTTTAAAGAGTAAATTCTTTGCGCCACTGAAAACTACTGATAAAAACAACACAGTTTGTGCCGTAGGAGCAAACTAAAGCAGTTTCTAGGGTGACAAAACTTAGTCTTCTTGAATTTTATGCTTTTTGTGACCAAACCACTGGATATAGAGCTGCATAGTTCCTTATAAAATGTATCCATTTTTTATGGCACTGTTTCCAACAAATTTAAAGTACTTTTCACATTGTTAGTGGAGCTACTAATAGTTTTCAGTGTTTCTCAATAGGCAATTTAAAAACACGTTTAGCCAGAATATGAAATTTACTCATCAAAATGTAATTAAATTGTGAATAATTAAGAAATATAGACATGTATAAAAGGTTATACACAATAAACCTGCAGAAAAGTATTTATTTATTTTTTATTTTCTTGAGTATCTTTATTAGCTGATATGACACAAAGTGTAGCTCATTACATAAATGTTTATTTTTTAACAGCACATTATAACAACTATAACATTATGATAGAATTTCTGGGAGTAACACATTCTTTCTGTTTTTAAGGTTCACCGTGCCAAAGCAATCCTCTCACACTTGGTGAAATGCATTGCTGGAGAAATTGTGATACTTAAAGATAATGCCACCAATCCAGAGAAACGTGTGCGGTCTCGAACTATCAGTGTCGGAGGCAGCACAGCAAGGGACCAGAAAATATTCAGCAATTCAGAGAGCTCCAGCCCTGACTACACAGAGATAAGCTCCATCCCTCCCATGCCTTTGTACGCCCTGCTGGCAGCTGATGAGGACACGTCACAACTTGGTGAGCTCGCAGCATGTACCGGTAGTTTAAATATTAACCATTCAATTAAACTTGCATCCCATGCAAAACCAAGTGATGAAAGGGACCATCTTTCCATTCTTGTTGTAAGACACTTGATGTGTAAATTTTAACTGTCATGCATGTCTCTACAGAAAATGTGGGCAGTATGAGTGGAGACAGTGGGCGTGGCTCCAGCCAGACTGATGCTTATGATGAACTCTTTCATACACCCAACACTGTGGATTTTAAACCCCTGGATAACGAACGGGAGGAAAATGGGAATAAGGTTAGCAACAGCTTTTTTGTCTTGTTGAGCTGTCTATATGTATATGTACATGTATATTTGTTTGTGGGGGTATGTATGTGTGTACGCACAGGGTTTCACCTACCATTATCCAAGGAGGGCACCCCACCCTGTCAATAGAACTGAGTACCCTGTCTACCAAACCCCCACCCCCAGCAGACTGCTTCACCACAGACGGAGAGCGGAGATTGTAGCAGCTCTGCTCAGACCTAGCATTTGTACTGTAATCCTTCTTTAGGACATTGTAAATATTATAATTACTTTTTCACTTTTTGTTACTTTTTTGTGTACCCTTATTGCATGCTTTTAGTATTTCTTGTTTGTTCTTTGTTTTTTGAGCAAGTCAAATCGGTTCTTCTCATCCTAAGCGTTTCATTGTACTGTTAACCCTGTGTTAACCTTGCATATGACAAACACACAACTTCAATACAAAGACGAACACTCCTCTCCTCATCGTCTGGTGCCAGCAATACTAGCACTCCGCTAACATTGCCAACAACAACCCCCCCCCCCCCCCCCTTCCCTGTTGACAACTGCTGGCAATACAACCATAGCTCTCCGCTAACACCATCTCCACTCCTCCCCTCCCTCAGAGGAAACACTTATGTATGAACGTATGCATGCAACTGTGCCCTAAAATGATTTCTGCCTCTCTGCGTTAATATAACTAAAATGGATTCTACTCATTGTACCGTTGGGTTTCATTTTTGTAGGTGATAGACTTGTCCCAGTACAGTCCAACATACTTTGGTCCAGAGCATGCTCAGGTCCTGTCAAGCCACCTCCTCCACTCCAGTTTGCCTGGATTAACTCGAATGGAGCAGATGTCGCTTATGGCTCTGGCAGATACCATCGCTACCACAAGCACAGACCTCAAAGACAACCAGGACAAGAGCAAAGGTTCTCAAAGAAACAAAATCATATTATATTGACACAGAACCAACAGAAATGCTTTGTATACAGTGTGTGTTGTGGTATTTGGGAGGGGAAAAAGTTATAACTGGGAGTCTATTTTTAAAGGTGGAGAGACTCTTGATGAATGTGGACTGAGGTTCTTGCTGGCTGTCAGACTCCATACCTTTCTTCTAACCTCCTTGCCTCCTGTACATCGAGCACAGCTGCTACGGCAAGGTAAAGTAGAAACTTTCAAATGTTATGCAATTTTGTTCCTGGCATATACATAAAAAACAAATGTGTAATGACACCAAGACCTCACAGTGTGACATCAGATAAAAGGGAGGATCAGAGCACCCATGGATTTTCAAAATGATTAACTCTTCTCTGGAGCTTGTTAAGCTATCCTACACATTTGTAATAGAAAATAGCCACTTTTCAATAAACTGAACTGACTAACCAAACATAAACATACAGGTAGCACCCTTAGTTACTTTCACTAAAAAATGAATGCTAATAATGTGTGCTAAATGACAGTTAGCTTGGTGATTTAAGCAGCAATATTGCAAACCAGGTTCACAGAGGATGGTACTAATTGGCTCAGAAGACTGAAACATTGGTCAGCAACAGCAAGCAGTGCATGTAACAAGCAACAGAAAAGGCAGGTCATGCTGGTACCAATTATAAACAGACACTGATACAGTATACATTAGATACAAAGAAAAATCACATCAAGTTAGTTAGTCATCCACAGGGGAGTGTAATTGCAGCAGTTTAGAGCTGCAACAAGTGTATACTTCATTGCATTATATTGACTAAATGGTCAAAAGTGCATCAGTTTGCTCACTGAGCCACGGAGTTTGCCAAGTTTCCATCTTGTTACAAAATTAATAAATGTCCTTGCACTTTTTCAGCAATGCTAATGCACACTCACTGAGGTATCAGGTTAATAACACTATGGATCCCTAAAGCCAAAGGAAGAGCACATAATTCATGATCCTTACTGTAATTACCTGATTGTAAATCTCGTTAAATGAAGTGAATAATCCACTGTCTATTCATCATCCCTAACTACTACAGTAAAGTTACCTTTGGGCAATTTATGAAACGTCCAAACACTTTAACTGTCAAGAGGGCAGCTTTGTTTTATAGCTATTAGTCGGTGTGGATATTCGAGCTATGGAATACAAAGATTTATTTTCTAAACCTCTTTCTTTGTCTTCTCTGTAGGTCTGTCAACCTGTCATTATGCCTGGGCCTTTCACTCTGAAGCTGAGGAGGAGCTGCTGAACATGCTGCCTGCTTTGCAGAAAGGGGAGCCCACCTGGACAGAGCTGCGCTCGATGGGCGTGGGCTGGTGGTTGTGCAGCACCAATAAGCTGCGCAAGTGCATTGAGAAGGTACAGCAGTAACTTCATTGTTATTAATTAGGTTCTTAACTCAAATCTAAATTTAACCTAAAGTAAATGTTTGCTCACTGAGATATTTGTAACAATGTAGCATCTAGTTTTTCTGCTGATAAACATTTTTATACAGTTAATTGTAAGTGCATATAATGTTTGTTGCTACATAATACCAGCTACTGTTAAAACAAAATCTACAAAAAAAAAAAAAAAAAAAACTTCAGCACCATAAGATTATAAAAATACCTTTTTCTAATTAGTGTATTCAAGGTTGTAAAGTTATTGTGAACATGGGATGTTACTCTGAGCACCACTGATTCAGGCTATTTTTCTAATGTTTAAGTTTTTTCTCAAGGTTAAACGTTTGCGAATTGTTTTTTAAAAAATAAACTTCACTTAAAGGAGCATCAGTTTATGCCTGAGCTTGGCATACCTGTTCTGATTGTTCAGTTTTTAAATTAAGTGTTAAGTACAGTTTTGCTGAGTTTGCTCCAGAATGCATTACTGTAACGGAGAGCTTCATCTTGAAATGTCCCATAAAACAAAAACATGTTCCTTAGATAACTCTTGTCTAAGCTGAGGTGGTTATGACTATAGCTGAATCAGTTGTTCCTTTTTGTCAGGTTGCCAAGGCTTCCTTTCAGCGAAACAATGATCCTCTGGATGCAGCTATATTTTACCTTGCCATGAAAAAGAAGGCAGTGGTTTGGGGACTGTACAGGTAAGTAGAATTGACATGAGTTTGTGCAATACCCTCATACAAGCTCAGTTCTGTCAAAAGTGCTGCAAACCAGTGACACCAACACTGTTTAAATGCCATTCACGCAGGTCTCAGAAGAATGTAAAAATGACAGAGTTTTTCCACAACAACTTCAGCGAGGACAGATGGAGGAAAGCAGCACTGAAGAATGCCTTCTCTCTGTTGGGAAAACAGCGATTCCAGCATTCTGCGGCTTTTTTTCTTCTCGCCGGCTCCCTCAAAGATGCTGTGGAGGCAAGTGGAAAACTGACATGACAAAATGCTTCTAACAAGGTTTTGTTCGTTCCGCTGTGTTGCCACTTCACAGCCTTATAAAGCTGAAGTTAAAATAAAGTGCTTCGCACTTTTATTTGTACACTTTCTCATTCAAGTTGAGCTTATCCTGCATCATATTTTCATATTTAATAGATGTTTATTCATGTAGTCTTGACTAGTATATGGCAAAATTTGAGACCATGAGGACCCAAATGAACTTCAAAATACTCATTCCTAAATGTCAGATGAATCACTGATGCATTTTTTTAGTCTAATCATAGACATTTTTTTCTAAAAGTACTAAATGATTTCTCTTCCACTGATAAAAGTTTACTGATCCTTTCTTTCTAAAAATCAACAACTTTTTTATTATTGTTTAACGGAAAAATAACGGGTTTTTTGGGAGGGGTAGTGCTTAAGACTAGGGATTAATATCGGGCTTTTGTGGCAAATTAATCTTATAATTGTTAGATGCCTGGCGACACAGATAGGCATCGAGATCATGATAATTGGTTCTACAAGCCAGTAGTTAGGGATGTGTTGTTTGGGTGGACATGCAATGAGGGGAAATCTTTCTGGGTGATTAATTGTCTCAGAAATTATTGCGATAAACGATAATATTGTTTGAAATTTGACAATAATTAGTAATTGTCAAATTTAAGAAGAAATGTTGATTTCTTTTGTGTGTAGTATCTTTTTGGATCACCGGATGGCAGTATAAGACTGTTTGAACCGAAGGATGGCTAGTGAGGGAGTGAGCAGCGTGTCTTTAAGAAAAATGGGATGGATGCCCCTTGACGTGACATGGGCTGTCTCTCCTTTTTTTCAGTTCTCAAAATGACGGACACTCGGTGTGGTTTGAGCTCTTGAGCATAGCATTTTTCACACAAAACGTTTAATAAAAAAATCAGTAAACAAGTTCTCAGCTTTTTTTTCAGAGAAAAACAACTTTTTACACGAAGGCACGGGTTTCAACCGTGAATTTTGGAGCTTTGACAAACCGGAGGTCTTTTTCCGAGGTCGGCCTGTGAGCTTAGCTCGTAGCTTAGCTTCTCAGCTTAGCTGCTTTTAACAATCAAAAAATGTGATTTTGGACAGTTAAAACAGATTTTAAAGAGAAAGAGAGGGTTCAGTGAAAAGCGCCAGAGTTGAACCTTTTGTCATCCAGTGTCTTCAGTAGAAAGAGACATGAAGAAACAATAAAGTCAATAAATGAAAGAGATCATTAATTTTCATTTATCATGCGATTAATTGATTTATTGTTTATCGCGACAGGCCTATTTATTATATATGTAGTGTCTTTGTTACTGTGTGCAAATAGTGCACGGTGGCTGGAATAGCTGCACGCTGAAGCAGCATGAGTGCAGCTATCATCCATGCAGCTGACACATTTTGATTGTTTAAACTTTTACTTATCAAGGTTATTTCTGCTCAGATGCTCCCTTAAGCAGCGAGTCACATTATTTCATCTGCATGAGTAACTACAACCTCTGAGGATTTTTATGGAAATGAGCATTGCCCAGGCAAAGGGCTATCATTGACTTTGCTCATTCTCCCTGGCTGGGAGGTAGTCTCATTGAAATGCACCTCATACCTTATCAGCTTTAAGCATCCACAACAACTTCAACTGTCCATACTTGTTTTGCTGTGAGCACAGGCTTTTATTTTTCTCCTTTTGTTTAATTTTTATTTTGCCGTTTAATTTCCTCTGTTTTTACAGCTAGAAATAAGCATTTAATGCCAGAGGATTTCATCTCAGTGGATTTTTGTGAATCCTGAATTTACATTATTTGGGTCTTGTGCTAAAGATGGAAGGCCCTGTTCAAACTAGAATTTACTGTGAATGTTGTTTTTTCTTCTTCAGGTGTGTTTAGAGAAAATGCAGGACCTGCAGCTGGCCCTGGTGATCTCTAGACTGTATGAGTCAGAGTTTGAGACGGCGTCCACATATAAAAAGATCCTCCAGAGATACGTTTTGGGACGTGACAAACAGGTTTGTGTGTGCATGTGTTTATTAATATACGTCAAAGCTGTTGTTCCTTCTGTTAAAAAAAAAAAGTCACGTTTGACCGATGTGGTGTTGTTTCACATCCTTTTTAATAATTAACAAGATTTTCTCTGTATTTTAGATTCCAGCACACCTGGATCCATTCCTACGGAGCATAGCTTACTGGGTCCTGGAGGACTATAGCAAAGCGCTGGACACTCTAATTGAGCAGCCTGCTCACTGCAAAAGCTCTGGATCCTTCGAAAATAAATATGACAGTGGTATGTCCTGTTTTTTCTTAAATTATTATTATTTAATCAAGAATTATCAAATAGTTTTACAACTTTTCAATCTGTTGTTCAGAAAATTTGTTACACTGATAATGGAGGAGCTCATACAATCCTACTGAAAATGATCTGAATAACATTTTAAGAACAGATGACAAGTTGAACCGAATATGAACTCATTTTTGACTTAAAAGCTCAATTGTTCTTGGAATAACACCCCTGTGCTTCATGTGATTTTATGAATTTATAAATCCTCAAATCACCCTCATGTTTACAGAGAGGATGTCTCCTGCTACAAAGGTGAAAATTGCTCTGCTGTTTCAAAGTTAGATGTTTTCTCTTTAGCAAGACTTCAGAACAAGCTGTCATGTATTTTTACTTTTTAGCACTCATAAAAAATTGATTCCAGCTTTTCCCAATCTTTTAAACTACTAGCTGTAAGCTCTCTTGACATTTACGTAACCACCAAGTAGTTTCAGTGCACAATTTCTTCTACGGCTGCACCTTTAAAGTTATTTAAAGGCTCATCAATGAATATCAGAATAACTGTGACTCTCTCGTGTGATGTTATCTGTTACACTGACCTCACTACGTTACAGCCTGGCTAGCAAAAATGTTTGGCACAGTGTCCCCTTTGTGTGAACAATGCCCACAAGCCCCATCCATTTACTCACATATGTTTTATATCTGCCTCTTCATGAAGAAATTCTGGTCTGATAGATTTTTTTTTTTTTTTTTTTTGTGTGGTCTAGTGTAACTTTAGCGCATATGCTTTTAATCCCTTAATTGCCTTTTTGGAGGTTTCACTATTTCATTTGCTGCTCCTTCTGCTAAAGAGTACCTAATAGCTTTCACAACTCTGCTACCCAGGAGGCTAATGTTGAGTTAGAAATATGTCTACATATACAAGCTTGATTAGAGAGGTCTATTATTTAAATTGGAAAAGAAATCAGGCTGACTTTGTCCAGTAAGGCTGTATCATATGAAATAACCTGGAATCCATTTCTTTCCTACATCAATGATACAAAATGTCAATGGGGGGAATTTTATTCCCTTTTCTTTTTTGTCTTACTTTAAGTAGGTTCCAGGGCAGGATACACTTATTTGTTGTTTGTTTAAAATGTAAAACAATATATATATATATGAGTTTTTTAATACTGTTTTCTGTTCTGACTTTATTACAGGTTCTTCGGCCATGTCTGCTTGCAACCCTGAGGTCTTTAACTTTTACATCTACCTCCGTACACACCCTCTCCTTCTCCGCCGCCATTTTGTTTCCTCAGACAAGGCAAAAGTGGCTTTGACTGCTGAAGGTCGCAGGGCTGACTCCATCAGTCTGGACGAGAGAAGATTGTTTTTCACAGCTGCATATGCACATCTGCACGCTGGGTGCCCTATGCTAGCCCTTGAAGTCCTTTCCAAAATGCCCAAAGTCCGCAAGCATTCTAAACTCTCCAGACACGAGGACACAAGCATTACACCTGAACTCAGTGTTGGGAGCAGGAACGGGCACTCAGAACCCGACTGGTCTCCACCTGACCTGAACGGCTACCACTCGGATGCGAACAGCAACAGCAAATCAGATTCAGTGTTAAGTTTTGACTGGAGCCAGCAATCACTGACCCTTCCAGATGAGCCCCTGGAATTGAAGTGGGATAGTGACAAAGATGAAGATGATGATGAGGAGGAGAATCATAACGAGACTAAAACAGAAATTAAAGCTGCAGACAACAGTGTGTTTCAAGACAAACAAGACTCTGTGTTGACGATAGCAGAAACGGTGAAAAGTGATAAGAGTGCAGACAGCAGTGAGTTCATTGCACCATGTGATGACATCTTTTTGGCCCAACTCAAGTTCACTGCTTGCTTGAAGATTATGACCACAGAGCTGCGGACGCTGTCAACCGGGTATGATCTGGATGGAGGGAAGCTACGTTACCAGCTCTGCCAATGGCTAGAAAGAGAGGTACAAAAATTGTTTTAAACCGTTTTAAGGTCAAAAGCTATACAAATTATAAATGTTATAGCTAAAATTTATACCCTGTTCATTGTAAAAAATGATCTGATTTGAAGTTCCCTCAGTTGAACTTTTATTTTTGCATAACTCCCACACATTTCTCCTCAGATTGTGTTACTGTTTCAACTTGTTCAACTTGTCAGTTTATATAAACATCACATTGCTGAAATCACTAGGAGTTTCTTCTCATGTGAAAACAATTGGATGTTTTGGTAAAATGCTTTGCTACAGCTAACATGCATAAATGATAAACACCCTCTTGAGGAATTGAATAAAATATATATTTTGTGTTTTTGTTTGGACCCAGGTGGTGGCTCACCAGCGCTGTTGTGGCTATAAGCCCTGCTTGCAAGAGCAGTCAGTCCAGGGTAATAACCCTGTTTCTGGACTAGTGGAAGAAGAACAGGTGGGTGTTGATGGCTGTCTTCATGCTGTAATAATAAAAATAAATAGATCAGGTTTCAGCACAGATTTGTTTGTGTTTTTCAAACCACTGATTGATTTATTGCAATAAACGTATATTGAAACACATCTATTAATTGAAAGAAGAGACTAACAGAGTTTCACCTACCAGTGTCAGTATTTTTGTCATAGGTGTATAAATACTTAATCATTTGTTCATAAAACTGAAAAATCTGCAATGTTTTCCAGCCTGGGAGCCCCCGTGGTGACAACCAGAGGAGCAGGAGACTCTGGCTGCAGAGTAACCAGCCTTTACTGAGGATGTTTCTGAGCTACTGCAGCTTGCATGGCTCTCATGGCGGAGGGCTAGCTTCTGTACGCATGGAGCTCATATTGCTGCTACAGGAGTCCCACCAGGTGAATAAAACATGCACTAAAGCTGCAGGTAGACAGGCAGGGCAGTTTTTAAGAAGGAGCAACAACTAATTGGTTGCACAACTTGCTCAAATTTCAACTGTCAATAGTTTTACATACTTCAAATAACAAGAATTAATATGAGCATTAAAAAATATGATGGACATCACAAAACAACTTGGAGCAAATCAGTGACGGAACTATAATTTTCTACTTTTACATTAGTGTTCAGAGTTGCACATTTAACTCAGAGGGGCAGCAAGTTGTTTAAAAGTCTTAAAATGTTTTACACATTTACAAAACATTTTACCAAAAGTAAAATGCATATTTCATCTTTACTTAATACACATTATGTGCTCTTAGTTGGTAAAAGTGAAGCATTTCATTGAAAATGTTTGTAAGTTGGCTATTGAAAATTTACATATATTTTTATAACAAGTTCTATTAATTTTAGAAACTTATTTATTTTTATGTTCCCACATAGGTTTATTTACCATGATCTTTTATTTTTCTAACTAAAATAATAATAATAATAATTGCTCTTGTTTTTATCTTTTAAATAAAAATCTATAATTTTCCTTACTAACACTGTGCATAAATGTTAAATGAGAAAATTATGGATCAAATGAAAAGTCAAACGTTAAAGTAATACGAATATAAATTAAGAGTATTTAAAATTAATAAGACATTGACAGAGTTGTGAGTTTGTGTTTGACATCCATGATGCACAGATTCAAGCTGCACGAGCAGCAACATTTATTAATAAATTATTAAAACACAGAGTAAAATGTTATCTTTACTAATTGCCATTAAATGAATCAGTGGAACATAAACAACCTTAAAATGATAAAAGTTGAGGTTCAGCATCAGATTGTGTCATTCATTATAAATAAGCTGTCAGACTGATAAAGTCCCTGGAAGACCCAAATTAACCTTAAAATAAACTGATAAATTAAATTTCAAAATTAATTCAATTTACTTTTTATTATCTGTTATTTCAGATTTGTTTAAAAAAAATTAAATACTTGCTAAATTTATTAAATACAATGGCACATTTTTCCCCTTTTTGTCTCCCGTCGCCGCACGAAGAAGGGGAATGGGAAATACCCTCTATCTGTTTGTCCGTCCGTCCGTGCATGTTGCGAGCACGATAACTTGTCAGTGAGGTACAGACTTCGGTTTTGATGTGTGTTTGCATCTAGATGTGAGAAAAGTCTTTTTGAAAATTGGGTTGCCATATCAAGATCCAAAATAGCTGCCATGTGAAGTGGATAACTTGGGGAAAAAGTAACATTCTAACTTCCATTTTAGTGAAACTAGGCGCAAAAAAGTTCCCTTTTGAAAAGTGGGTCGCCACGTCAAACTCCCAAGATGACTACCGCCATATATACATGTAAACCATCCACCACAATCAAACGAAAATAGGCTTTCTAGTTTTTATATTGCTTAAAAGTATAATTTACTCAAATGATTGGGGTGGCCAAATATTCATTTGGTGGCCAAGGTCACCACCAGCCACCCCTTAGCTGCACCGTTGCACCTCGTTGTTAAAATTGCTCCCTTCTCTCACTTGGATCCGTCTCACTGTGCTGCCTCAGAAAAGACAAACATAATCTACCTCTTCTTATACGCAGTGTAACTCCTACCCACTTGAAGATCTTGTGACGAAAAACATGAATGTTTGCATTCCCTGTTTATTTCCAGTCCAGAAAAACACTCCTCAAAAACTACGAATACTCAACTCCCTCAGCATCAGGGGACATCGACGAATTGCTTGTTCATTGTTTTAATCATTCAGTAAATTATGAGTGCCTCCACCCCCCACATGCTTCCTTGTGTTCACTGATCCACTGTATGACTGTCTCTCTGCAACTGACGACGCCCTCTTTTTGAAAACAAGAACGAGCAGATGAGCAACAGCGTGCGCGACACAAACATAAAGTCAACTAAAAATCATAAATTACTGCAGCAGATTGTCACATCAGACACATACAGTTACTGTGCACTGATGATTATGTGTGCACCTTCAGCAAAGAGCTGACAGGTTGTGCCAATTCCCCAATCACCTAAAGAAAGTCCTGCCGTAGACACTAATAAAAAGTGGAGGCAAAATCTTACGAAGTAAACAAGTCAATGAGTCAACATGGGACTGTTTTTGAAGCAGGGAGTCATTTTTTTCTCTTCCGCTTTGTTTTTGAAATAAAATAATTTTCTTTTCTCCAAGCTCTTGTTCCATACATGTCAAATTTCTTCATTGTCGTTGAGGATTTTTTTCCCCCTTTGTGTTGACTTCAAACGACGTGAAGGGTTCTTGTTAAGTAGGTTAGAAAGAACCGAGCGCGCTTCATCAAGGCTGACGAAAATAAGCATGTGGTATTCTTATACACAGAGAATCATGTTCAGGAATAAAGTGCACACAAAGTCACGCACCCCTCCATTGCCAGTGTTTTATTCTTTTGCTCTTTAACTGTCAATCACACTCGGATAGAAAAATAGTTTTAAAAATCCAGTGCGACATTTTTAGCTCATGATGGTTTTGCTCTTTGCTTTAGGTTATTTTAGCAAAGAAAAGGCTGTTTCAAACGTTCAAGCCAACTTTCAGTTCCTTGTTCTCTCTTTTACTCTCTAAGAAACAAAAGAGTTAATCCAGAGTGTCTTGTTTAAGTTGTTATGGTGTTGTACTAGTTTACGTATATATCCAAGAAGATAGCTGGGAAAATTTGTATATATGTGCAGGTTTGATGCTGTTTACACAATTATGGTGATACACATGCCACTCTGACCTCTGCCTACAGGATGACTCTATCTCTTCAGTGGTGGCATCAAGTTCCCAGCCCACTTCTATTCCTCTTCTCATGGCTTGTACAGTTAATGTGAAGACCGTTGTGGCCAACCCCATCGTCTACCTGACCAACCTGACTCATGACATCCTGCATACCATCGTTGCGCTCGACTCTCCCCCACATCATGATGTTGTTAACAATGAGGTGAGGTAGTTCACGGCTCCACTTTCCAAATAATTAAGGGTAGATTATTCTTTTTGTCACTTACTATGCGCCAAAAACAGTATTTGTGGTGATAAGTTTTTAATTGGCTGAAAACTCTTGTTTTACCACGTAAAATTCACTATTAATCACTGTATTAGGAAACAAAATAAGTGTGTAAGAGTTAGGAAGTAGGCAGGAGTCCAAATGATTACCACATGCAGCAAATTTCATTTACAACAGCTCCTTTATTTTAATTTCAGATCTATGTGATGCACACATTGGCCGCTTCCCTGTCTGCCTGTATTTATCAGTGTCTTTGTGATGGACACAAATACAAGTGAGTGTTGCACTAGTTTTGTTATTTTCTTGTAGCATTTTGTCACTGCACTTATTTGTTTCTATTTCATATAAATCATTGTAAACAATGGTTCTATATTCTGACGAGATATATCCAGTTAAGCTTTTTACCTTACAAATAAAATTGTAGCACAGTCATTGATTGAGCTTTGAAACGAATTTGTGTCATTTTCTGGGTTTTATTCCTGTTGAGAAAACAAAACAACATATAGACATTAGCACTGGCATGAAGTTGTGCATTTTCACAAAACATCTGATCAAAGCATCACATATTCTGATTAAAAAGCTCAGCACTCACCTGAAACATTTACTGTCAGGCTAATCTGCTTCGCACAAATGAGCCTTTTCTTGAATTTGTTGTGATTGTTAACAGATACAGTTCCAGATCAGGAGAGAGCAGCATGGTCACAGCTGTGTTTTCTCCTGTTTCTTAGTAACCATGGTGATGATTTCTCTCTGTATGATTAGTTGTCTTAAACGAAGCTGCATGGAGTACAGCTGCCCGTCTGAAGTTCAGAGATTTTTCAAATATCATTGGGATAAGAATCACAAAAATGACTACTCCCCTAGCAAAATACGTTCTGTGCTGCAGCTTTTCATGCAGGCACATGCGCAGGAAACAAAATAACTTCTAACAAATGCATGTTTTTATTAAGGAAATAATGCACAAATTTAGATCAAGCACTCGATATTTACCCAAAGTAGAAAATTTATTAAGATTAGATTTTTCTTTGCCTTTTCTTCGTGAAAGTGCTGCCATATGTTGATTTTAAAAGATGGGGAAATAAATGGTTGAGATTTTGTTTGCTAAGATTGTGACAGGCACTTATCTGTTTTGATCATGTTGAATATAAATTATGAACGCTGCCAGGATGCTGTTTGTCATTCTTATTGTGAATTCTTAATTAGGTGTTTGGTTCTTACAGATGGGAGGAGAAATCTTGTTTATTCAAGACTCTGATGTATAATAAGCTTCAGTCTGTTTGACAAGAACACAGTCAGGTTTAAACTTTAGATGTTTGCATGTGCATGGGATTTCTTTTTATACATTTATAAACCATTAGACTTCTAGCTATGCATCTTTCTGATAGGGTTTTTTTCTCCATCACTTTGTTTTTAAGTTCAGTTTAATTTGTTTTCTAAAGATCCGATTTAAATGACCCAAAGAGGTTATGTATCCATGTCAATGTGTGAAGCGTCTGCTCTTTTAGTGGATTTTGGAGGTCATTTGTTGTGAGAAACACCTCGTGAACTGGCTGCTGCCTCCTCTGAGTGATGCTACTTTGGACTTTTGAATTCCTTTTGATTTAAATGCAATCAGGCTCCTGCTTGGATAAAAGTAGGCACCAACTGTGTGTTAAAACCTTAATAGACTCTTTGAAACAACCCAAAATTCAAAGCTAAATTAAAACTTTAAGCGAGGCATTTTAAAATCTATTTACACCAACAAACCCAGATTTAAAAAGTTTGTTTGTTTTTTTTTCAGTGCAGCATCTCTTGTTAAATTTAAATGCTGCTTTGAGTTTCCACACTGACGTTGTGTGGCCTGTTCTCCCACAGCCACGTGAACCATTTCACAGGAACTGTGTATCAGAGCGTTCTGCTGTCTCAGAAGCAGCCGCTCAAAACTGTCTGCCTGGATGATGCTCAGCCCAACACGTCACCTGCTCAGTGGCCAGGTAAATGATCAGCTGAACTTTGGCTTTATTTAAACATTTTCTTATGTAAACCAAAAGTTAATCATCATCCTACCTCATTACACTCGTCCTTTATTAAGGCTATTATGCTCTAACTTATTTTGTTCCTTTATATACATACGAAAAGTTGAGGTTTATGTTTTAATTTAAAAAAATAAAATAAAATAAATACAAAAACTAAAGATCTTTGGTGTCTTGTGCTACTGCTTGGTATGCTTTATTGTAAAGATTATATAATCAGCTTTTGATAATCTTTTAATGTAATTTTTCAGTGTGAAATTCATTGTGGGCCATTTTAAGTTTTGAATTAAATTTCTTTTCAATCAATTCAGTGTATTTATATATATATATATATATATATATATATATATATATATATATATATTAGTGCCAAGTCACAACAGAAGTCATCTCTTTTTTAGGTCTAGTCTAAGTTATCTGCATAGAGCAAGTGGTCGTATTTTGCTGTGTAATAATATAATAAACGTTTCATTTTTCAGTATCAGAATATTCAACTGGAATCACCTGTGGCTGTTTTTAATATTTAATATATCATGCTTGTGAAAGCAATCATACAAATTGCATCATTAAGTGAAATGGTAACAGTGCTGTTCAAGCTTTTTCCCATGAAAAAAGATGGAGTGTTATTGCTTGTGACACAATTAGGACTTGTAAAATACATTCAGTGTTTTTCTTGATTCATAAGTAGAAGACAGTGTGGTGGCAAACTGACTCAATTTACAAAAAAAATATATTAATTTCTCATCAGAGACCACAAACTGTCACTGAAGATGGCAGTATGTTTAATCTCTTAATTTGTTACTTGTCCTCTCAACTTTCTTGTGAAGATTAGGGCTAATAGTTCAGTAAAAATTGTTCTGTTTAAGGTGGAAAACTTCAATATAATGCTTATTTACTTTGTCATTCTTTTATAAGAACATTATCTTTTTGTTTTATAGGTTTTATTTGTATTAAGCATTTAATGGTGTTTAATTACAAACATTTAACAAAAAAAATTGTCAGTAATATTAACCAAACATTGCTACAGCACAGAAATTGTATACATTTTTTTTTTCTGGTTTTGATTACAAAACCAGCTACTCTTATGTCCTGAAAAAATTCAATAGAATTATCAACTGTGTGGTTGTTTTAAAGGGCTTTATAAATGAAGTAGTAGTAGTCGATGTGTATGTAGGCACATTTGTTAACACGCGTAAATGCTTCTGTTGTTTTTGCACCTTTTGCTCTAAACACCAAAGTCCATATGATTATTAAATTATGTGCTGGTATTCCAGTTATTTATTCAGAGAAATGAAACAAAATTTCATTCAGTTTTGCACAGTGTACTGTACAATTTTGAATGACAAAGTTATTACGGTAAATTGAATTGGTTGAAAGTTCCCCTTTCTTTTGAGTAAAGAGGCTAAATAAGTGTTGACTCTGAGCTACCTGACAGAAGCTCTGCAGCATCAGTATATATGTGTTTGACCTCTAAACAAGTGTATAAACATCAAATAAACTAGTCACTTATGGTCAAAGCATGCAGATTAAAAGTTTGTTCAGATTAAAAAATGAGGACCAGGTTGTTGGCAATAAAGTACAATGTTGAGACCAATACTAATAATAATAATAATAAATATTAAAAGTTGTTAATGTCATTTTCTTGTTATAAATGTTAAAACATCTGATCAAAACGGATGTCAAACTGTGAAAGTTCAAGGTTCTTTATTTGTCATTCGCACCCCATGTGGTGCATGTGGTGGAAAAAAATTATGTACACAGGGTCCCAGTTACATCCAACAATAAAATGTAAAAGTAATAAGATCTAAGATATGAACTAAGAAAAACATCAACTAAATATACACTAAGCACTAGTAGCATAAAAACATTACGCCGAACAGCAGCACGAACATGAGTCTGTGTGAATAGATGAGCACACATGAACACATCAACATGAAACAGATCAGCAGCAACATGAAACAGATCAGCAGCAACATGAAACAGATCAGCAGCAACATGATGTGATTTTTCACACTGATTATTCTGGTCAGAGATTCATGAGTCTAACAGCCTCAGGGTAGAAGCTGTTCCTCAGTCTAGTGGTTCTACACTTAATGCTCCTTAACCTCCTTCCTGAGGGGAGTGAGGCAAAAAGTGTGTGCTGGGTGAGTGGGGTCCTGCATGATCCTTACCTTCACCCCTCTTTTATTTTGTCCTCTCTCTCCAGGTATTGCCTCTCTTTTTGGCCTGTTGAGCTCAGCGGGTGAGGAGATGCAGCCGGGCTTGGCTGTGCTGCTCTGTGAGATCCTGACTGCTGTCTTCCTCAGTCTGTTTGTTCACGGCATGGCCACTCATTCCAGCAACGAGCTGTTTCGCATCGTGGCTCACCCGCTCAACAGCAAACTCTGGAGGACGGTGTTTGGAGGAGGCGCTCGCATCGCTATCATGGATAAACCCAGCAGTCCAGCAAGAACACCCCCACCAAGTGATTGCTTTGTTATGGCTAATTTTCAGGGAGGGGGTTCGTCAGGGTGTTTTTGGAGGTGTCTCTGTAGCTAAATAATATGAAGTTTAGTTAAATTATTTAATCTTCTAGGTTGTAGTGCTGTTGTTGTTTTGTGCCTTGTATTTTAAAGTATTCAACCTTACGTCTTGTGTACTCAGGCTCACCAGCTGGCTCAGACAGGAAATCCAAACGATTCAGGCTTCTTTCATCACGCAGCGGATCCAGAGAAGAGTCTGGGATAGAGCGGGAGGGGCCTTCCAGTCCTAAACGCAGCCCTGTTGTGGAACAGGAAGCTGCCTCCATCTTCAAAGAGCAATTTGTGCCTCCGGAGCTCAGCATTTGGGATTTTTTCATTGCTAAGGTAATCCACCGTATTCCTAACAATAGACAAAGACTCACTGCCATCACATTTTTAATATCTTTCAAGATTTCGGCTTTGCTGGATTGGCTTTTTGTTTGGTTATTGGTACGTATTTAGGGCTAATATATTACGTTTTGATCATTTACGTTGTTGCTCGGTTCTTTTGCCTTTCAGCCTGCGTTGCCGCCATCAGAAGACAGAATCGATTATGACTCTGAGCAGAGCCAGGAAAGCCAAGATGAAGATGATGATGACGACTGTGATGTCGTGTTTGACCCCAACTCTCCCCAGAGAGAGCATTCAAACCATAATTCATACAGGTAACAGAGCACTGAGTGAATATTTCTCTTTACAGTGACTCATCTTGTCCTCCAGCAACATGTTCGTATTATTCCTGAAAGTGTTTACAGCTGCTTCTGTTTTTCTCTTCACTTGTTTTTACCCACAGTGCTTTAAAATTCTGCTTCATGCTTAGTCTGAATGCCGTATGGCATCCCAATTTTACTTCCCCCTTAAAATTATTTTGAATTTGTCATTATTTTCTTTCAAGCTGGTGTTTAATGCGTCTGGCCATGGTGCAGTTGGTGTTGGTCAACCTCAAGTCTTTTTACCCAATGGCGGGATACGATCTGCTAGGTAAGCACTGAACACCACACAGTCTTTGAAGGTCCAGCACCCAGGCTGGAGATAAGTGTTGCCTTATTCTTCTCTGCCTGTTTCAGCTGTCGCCTCATTTTTTGTGTGTGCGTGCGTTTTTGTTTTGAAACTAGATTTGCCCGTTGTGTCGCCTCTGTGTCACTCTGTCCTGAAGACGCTGCAACGCTGGGAGCAGGTGTTGCAGAAAAGACTAGAGATCTTTGGTGGCCCCCCTGCTAAGTACATCTCAGTTCACCTTCTTGATGAAACCACCACACCTGGACCCGCCCTGCTCAGACACAAAGCTCTGTTGGAACCGTCCAACATCCCATTCAGGTACCAGCTAAGATTCTGATATATTTCCATCTCTTTTTATGCAAATATATAGATGAATGAACACACAGGGCTTTAAATAAAGAGTTCATGCTCAGGCGTTGCTGCTGACTTCCTCTATCATATATTAACAAAACTGTTCAGAAACAGAATGGTCCACTGATGAGTTGTTTCCTTTGACTGTGAAGACTGGTTTTCAATAGATCCTGATTCTAATAGGGGTGGGTGGGATATATCCATCTTCACAACTTTTTAAAAGCTTTTAATCACATTTTAGAAACATTTTGCCCTATTTAGTGCAAACTGAAGCAACTTGCTGGTAGCAATGTTTAACTTCACCCAATGGGACCATTTTCTAACTAGACAGATAAAAAAAACAATGAAACTCAGAGGATAAAGCTTTTTTAACAGAACAATTTGGTTTAATTGTGTTATTTTTTAATGTAATTCAATATTATACCAAAACATTGTTTAATTTTGATATTTATGTTTTTTGTCTTTTTGGGTTTTTTTTTTAAATGTGGGGTTGATTTAGCACATAAGCAATAAGCAAATTTAATGAAAGAACAGGAAGTCACAAGTGTTTTAGCTACTTAAGAGTCCAGAAAATGTGCATTTATTATTTCTTGTTTGGATTATAATGATGCAGACCTTCTCATAAATTTTATTTTACTTTAAAATCTTATATTTATTCTATGGAATCTACGAACATATTCAGTAATACACCACTAAATATACCACTATATATATATATAGATATATATATATATATATATATACACACA